GTGTACATACTAGTCTGAACAAATGTCTCAGTTCTTCTGTTAGAGATCACCAAACAGGAAACACTGCATCTTAGGCCGACAGCTGTTGTGGTGACAGTTGAGGCCGAGAGCGTGTGTGTGTATGTGTATGTGTATATATATACGTGTGTGTGTGTGTGCGTGTGGGGGAATAAAGTGGCTCTACCAGCCCGTGTTTCACTTTTATCTCCCTCCCGTCTGAATATCGTCAAAGAAATCATGGCAGAGAGACACATCAAAGTCAGGATGGGGGGGGGGGTTGCATTTATTTCCAACGACAGACAGTAAATACAGCTGCTCTCTTCTCTCCGAGTGTAAACTCTCCTACAGCGAGTTGAGGCTTGTATGTTTACCTGAATCCTGTGTTTGTGTGTATATGCTGTATATACTGGCTTCATGTGTGTGTCCACGGTCACACACTCCCATCAAGGCGGAAACAATAAAGTTACATCATTTGTCGACAATGTACACCGTCATATGTGCGTCTTACAATTATATCATATTAAAAAACTAGGTCATTTTGCATATTTAAGCTGGGTAAGCTCTATAAAATATTCACATACATTTATTGAGTTAATACGAAACAGCACCAAAATATTGCATACCTTTTTTATATAGTTTGGACTAAGCTTTAGGTTGTCAGTACCAATGTATATGCAGTAATATATACAGTATACAGGTACTCAGTTTTATTGCTTTACATATTGCTATATAAATGTATTTGGGCTCAGGGATTATTCTACTGTGAAATGTACTTAATGATTACAAAAGGTTAACAGGCACAAAACATTTAAAAACTCAGGTATTTAAAAAAAGCTTGATTTCTTGGTCTCCATTTAGTAATTTAAATGTTACGATCAAGCTCATCCTAAACTCTTTAGATACAAATTGAACGGTTTTAAATGACCTGATGTGTTACACTGTAGAGCCAAAAGCCTCACGTTTCTGTGTAAATAGTTGATGGAAAAACACAAACAACAACAGAAAATCATTAAGTCACAACATAGAAAAACTAAAATTGCATATATTTATAAAAAGTATCCAAAAAGAGCATAGAATGTACGATCCTGAATTAATGAGATGGCCACTGTTGGCAGGTGAACATTTTTTTTATTTCATCTCTCACCATCTTTCACTCTCTCTCTCCCCTGTGGCTTCGTCATGCTCATCATCCTCAGTGTCTTTGGTCCATGTGCACAATGTCAAGATGGAATGTCAAAATAAACAAACAAAATAAACAGGTGTTGTCGTTGCTATGGTGATGGAGGACAAATCCATGGTCGTGTGTGGGAGGGTATGCAGCGCCCATAAATTAACTGAAAAACAATGAAAAACAATAAAGAAAAAATAAATGAATGAGTAAACAACTACTTGGTGGAAAATAGAAAATATGAATGCAGAGCTCTAAGAAAAGAAGATGAAGTAGAGTGGAGAGAAACAGGCGCTGCTTAAGTTAAATTAAAGAAGTTATTTGTGTTAGTCATATTTGGAGGCTCTACAGTTTCAAACCTCTCTTCTCTCCAAAGGAAACTTCAAGTTAACCAACATGAGTCAGTAAATGAGTCTCATAAGACAGAGGATGTGTGGGATGTCATTCATAAAACCACAAAATGGAAGATCAGTTCCCTAGAGCCGCTCTGACAGCAGAGTGTGTGAGCGGCCACAAGATGGAGCCAAGCGTCCTCACATAGACTCTCAGACAGAGCTATAGGGAAATGCATAGACCACTACACATCACTGTCTGAAGCTTAGCATACGTATCCTGTACCCCCCCCCCCTGCCCCGACAGCCACTGGCTTCATATATTATCACTACAGAAGAATTAAGAATAAACTTAAACCTGCTTTGATCTGCAGTAAACTCATATTTGCAATGCGTTGCATGAGGCATTGCATTTTCTTTTTGCACAGATGCATCAATATGTTCAGCAAACCTAAAGAATATACAAGGACAACACAGCACTAAGCTTTCCTCTGATTGGATCTAAAGGGCCGGGCTCAAACACAAAGGTCTATCCACAGTCTTTTATCCACATAGTGTGCATTGTTGGTAAATCAAAACTACTAAAAGAGGAAGGTCCCATGAATAAACCTTTAAAACTGTCAACCATATACATGATGTGCATTGCTTTGGATTACTGAACAATGGAAACTCTCTGAAGCCGACTATCATATTGGACTCAAATTAGAAGAAAACTAAATGTTCTGAGAGGTGAGGAATTCATCTATGAAATGAAATGCAGTACAACACCTACAGTTAATGAGCTAAAGTATAAAAAGGCATTTCTACCTGTGCTATCATTAATACGCTGAATTAGCATACGCCTATTGAAATCACGTCTGCCCTGTGATCTGTATTCTGCTTCACCTATTTTTACGCTCAGCTTTCAACTGCTTCACCGTCTCCTCTCTGAATAACCTGAATAATCAGAGCAAGGCAAACAGAAAGAGTGAAAGGACAGGAAATGTTAAGCTTGGGCAGTACAAAAAGGAGAGAGAGGGGGGGGGGAGAGTTTCCGTAACACATGCCAGGCCTTTATAATAGCTGAAATGCTTGTGTGTTGGAGACAGGTCAGTAACGGCACAGCACATTCAGTTCAAAGCTCGTTCATGTCACACTTTGCCACTGGACTGGCAAGATGCTTAACGGACTTGTAACAGGGGTTAGAGAGCAGAAAGAGAAGGGGTGATGGAAGCTGTTTCAGGGTTTAAGGCACAGACTGAAAGGACAACAGGATTAGTTGAATAGAGGAGTTGGAAACAGCAGCTTCCTGCCATGGAGAGAAGAGAGAGTGAGTGATAAAAGGGAGGGAGTGCCTTACTTCTTCTTGTCCTTGTCCTTCTTGAGCGGCTGAGACAAGGCGAGCGTCTCGGCGGCCACCTTCTTCCTGTTGAAGCCGTTCATCTCCTCCTCCAGGTCTCTCCGCTTCTCCTCCACCTTCCTCTTCTCCTCCTGGTGCATCCGCTTCAGCTGCTCAAACTTGTCATGCAGCTGATGGGAAGATGGACGGACAGGACGGGGGAGAGAGGAGAAGAGATTTGAGTTTGAACTTGTTAAGTGACATTCCACTGTTAAGCTAACTCTTTATGGTTCAATGGATCTCACAATGAGCTGAAGTGATAGCAACAAAAGGGTACCTCTTACAATTGTATATATATTACCGCATTTGTCATGTATTATGTAGTTATGACCCTGACTCGAATAATGCAAAACTAAAGTGCTTCACATGATGTTTTTGTGTGGACACATTAATAACCACTTACGTTTACTGTACAACCCCAACCAAGCATTCACCAGTTTACAATCAGATGACTGATAACTATGAGCTGATCTGATATATGTTCAAAACTAATATTGTGTCCTCAATCATTTCCACATGAGACGTACCTCTCTCTCCTTTTCTTTCAGTTCTGCTTCCGTCTCTTTTACTTTGTTGACAAACATTTGTCGCATCTCTTCCTCTTTACGCTGCAGGTCCCCCAAGAACTCTTTCCTCTTGGCCTCGTACGTCTCTTGAAGACTGGACGGATGAAAAGACAGGAATAGATTAGTCGTTGTCTCCTAATAATAGAAACTCTCCCTGCTGTTGATACTTTGGAGTTTTGGAGTGTGTCTCTCCTCTCTCTCCTCTCTCTCCTCTCTCTACCTGAACGGCTGGCTGTCGGGGTCTGTATCTTTGAAGCCCATCTCCTCCAGCTTGCAGCGGCGGTACAGCTCGTAGTGGCGGGCGTGGGTCTGCTCCCTCAGATCCTCCATGTTGACCCTGATCAGCATCTCTCGCAGCTTCACAAAGTCGCAGTGGTTCTCGTTCTCGACTAAAGGGAAAACACAGAAAGGATTAGTAGAGCAGCAACACATTCCGCTACGGTGTTTGAACGATTGGTTTCTGTTGTCAGCGTCAGATGTGTAGTCACATTGAGTTTGGAGAGTTTGCTTCTCTCTTGTCATTATGCTCCTGGCTGTCTTCATCACGTCTTCTAACTCATTTTAACAGCCCATCTGTCACGTTGTCCACATCCCTTCCTCTCCACCTCTTTCAATCTTAAAAGCAGGAAATCATACCACATCTCTGAAGGAATGTGAAATGCAAAATACAACTGGATAAATCCCATTTGGCATCCATTCAATCAAACTAATCTTTGCTGACAAAGAGGGTTTGATAATATGCCCTTTTTTGCAAAGTTCATTTTTCCTCATTTGGTGACTTTAACAACTTCACTTTAGTTTCACGTCTGACTGACTCTCACAGTTTAATGATTTCATGGTGGGGAAAGGCAGGAAGCATTTCCTGCCTGACAGATTGACAGCTGAGGGGTGGGGGG